AAAAAAAACTATTATAATATATGTTGTACTCAGTTGCATAGATGTTAAAATAAACTTAGCAATTAAATTTTTGAATTTGCTCCAATAGACTTTCCGTAGCAAACTTGATAATCAAAGTCACAATAAAAAAAAGAATAATAATAACGGAAAAATCTGACCTTTTGCAATGGCAATGACAAATTGCTGATCTTACAATATTCCTGGAGAGGCGAATGCTTCTTTCCTAGTTGGATCCACTTGTCTTATATAAGCGACGTCAACCAAATCGGAGGATAACAATCCGACGTTCAATAACAAGCCCCAAATGCGAGACAGCCAGTATAAAGGTGGAAGAATAGGTTCGAACGAACGAATAGGTAAATTCACGAAGCCCTAAAATAGCACGAATAATAAATGTCTTTTCTTTTTTTTTGAGATTACCACACCTAAGGCTCACACAAAAGGTTTAAATTGTTGAAAGTAGGGTAAAAAACTTACTCAAGGATATAGGGCGGCTTCAATTGTAGTCCAATCTGGTATCTGGGATAAATATCTAAATGTACATAGATATATATTTCAGTGGTTCGTTAGAACTATCCTATTGGCTATAATATGAGCATCCTGTAGATTAAGGAAATAATAGTTAGAATAAGAACCACGTGGGCCAGAAAAGATTACTTACAGATCAATTGCTTTAGAATCCGACATAAGTCGTGAACTGTGATTATAGTCACACCAATACATAAATCACATTCAAAAGTGAATTTCGATAAAACTCCCAACTATATTGGAATGCACAAATCGGCACAGAACAACGAAATTCGCTTAACAACAACTGCCTGAATACTCGATAGGAAAAATCCTCGAACCTCGACCAGCAACCTTTTTGTGTGTCCAAAGAAATGTAGATAACTAACGCGGGGACAGCGTATGCGGAAGCAGAAGCATTCACGTTACATTTTTAATAAAAATTTTCTTTTTATTAAACGCTCTGAGCTAATGAACTGAATTAATTAACTAGAATTGTAATTATTTATATTTACTTTAAAATGCGATTAGGAAAGAAAAAAAAAATGAGTAAGGTAAAAGTGCAACGTAACAACCATCATAAAACTGATCCACACATTTGTTTACATTTTCAGATGTAATGATTTCTTCCCAAGTACATTGTCTAAGCAGATGATATAATTGATAATAGCCACCTCTCCCGAAATTGTAATTCCGTTTGTAATTATTGTCAGTTAATCCACCCTTATATCTGTCAGCAGCAATGTCAAAAGTGATAACAATCTCCAAAGGAGGGTGATATTGGTCAATTGCAACGAGAGATGTATTAGAGTGAGAAACTTTTGCCTCAGTTAAATTAGTCATCACCAAGTCGAGCAAGTTGTTCACCCGATTTAGTACATTGTTGACAATATACAGATCATATGTACATAGGACTGTTTGAATAATTTTGGCCTTGTAAGAACCGTTGCCACAGTCATAGCGCATATCGTTTATTTCAGGCACATTAAAATCACCCAAGATGAACAGATTCTCTGAATACAGCTCATTAATGACTCCCAAGGAATCTAAAAACGTTTCATACACTGTTAGATTAGAGCCGGGTTTAATATAAACACAACAAATTGTCGCTGTAAAATCATTAGTCGTCAGTTTAATGGCTATCCACTGAAAGTTTATATCGTTACTCTGACACACTGATAGCACTTTAAATTTTTTCTTAATGCAACATAGAACTCCACCTCCACGCAGAACGCCAGCTTGTTCATACATCTTGTCATTTCTGAACACCATATATCTGCCATCACAAAGTTCTTGGTCATAGATTGAAGCATTGAGCCAGGTTTCAGTAATACATATAATGTCAAAGTTGTTAGATAGTATGTTTTCGTAGAAAGTTTTTACTTTAGACCTTAATCCTCGCACATTTTGATAGAAAATAGTGACATACTTTAGTTTTTTTTTACTAGTTGTAATTTCTGCTTCACTATAGTCCGTACCGCCGCTTATAAAAAATCCTCAGCACCTTGAGTTATAGTCTGCCTATTCTGAATATTGGCACTCGTAGCTTCTTTATTTATTAATTTCCGACTAAAATTAAAACGCCTTATTATTATACCTTCTGGCCAATAATTTTCCTGATTTAACTTTTCTAATAAGTGAAATGGTGCCCCTATTTTAAATGATGAAAAATTACCTAAACTATTCAACTTCTCTACAATAAAGGTTTCATTATCATTATCTTCTTTGAGATATTGCAGCCAGTGGTCACATGTAACATTTTTATTTTTAATCTTTCCTATATAGAACCATGCCATTTTGGGTTGGGCAGCTCCGGAAAGATCTTCATTTGGTAGATTTCTCCTACTTGTTCCTATTTTCTGAGTGGCCCCACGGTAATTCTTTTTTACAACATTTTCTTCAGCGACATGTGCTTTTTCGATAGAAGTTGGGGTGTGAACAATATCTTTAGCAACTCTTGTAGTGGTGGTCTTCTTAACTCGAGGAATGGCACCTTTATTTGATAGAACAGAAGCCCAGGTTACACTCGTACTGTCCGTTTGATTATTCTGTTTCAAACCTACTTCTATATTTGGAACTTCTCTTATGGAGGTAGTTGTCTTATTATTATTACTAGCATTATTATCGTTGTCATGTCTTAATATTGCAGCCAATTGAGTTTCATTTTTATCATTTGTTTTAATCTGTAATTCAGCCATATCCGCCTTTAGGTTAGTAAGCTCCTTCAAGACCAATTCTTTTACTAATTCAGATATCATATTTTTTAATTCAGTTATAAGTTTGCTGTTAGATAACATAATACTCTTTGTAACTACATTCTCAATCTTGGTCACCAAATTTGCATTGGTTTGTTCCAAATCTGTCGTTGAACCTTTTTCTTGTAGATAATTAATTTGTTCCAAGAATTCCTTTCTTTCCTGTATTAGTCTATTATTTTCACTAATAACAGTATCATATTTAATAGTTTTGGGCAAACAGTCGGGACAATAGAACCGCATTTTTCTTTTCTGCAATTATTAAGCTTCAATTTGATATATGTTTTATGATTTAAAACTTTATAATTTCACAGTAATTCAATTAATTTCTTCACACTCTTCACACTAAGCTCACACTTAAAAAGTTATTTTATTTAAACGAAACGCTATTCATTTTAATAACTATAATATCCGTAGACGCCTAAACGAAAATACTCACACGTGCCTCTCGCAGAAATAAACCACCACATACCACGTACGAAATATTACTGCATTTACTGCAGACTGCAGCGCAGTGGCTGTCACTATTGCAGCCGCAAAAGCCCCTATCTCCGTGTACTGGGTCACTTACCTGATCAGCCAATAAAAACAAAGGACGCATATAATTGTTCGCTGTCCACACATTGTGTATATGAGGTTGCATATATTAAGGAGCGTAGCTCGCATCGCAATAAATAATAATATAAGCTCATAGATTTATTTTAGCGCGAGTACATTTGGATTCTTTAAATATTTTGTAAATATTTAATATGATTAAATACATAAAATTTTATGTGTTCTGCAGCTCCGCAGCTCTTATGGTAAAACCGCCACTGGTAATAAATCTAATGGCACTGACTGCCTGCCTCCTAGCCTAGTGGTCTAAGTTCTCCAAAAACTGATATTAATTCCTTTGGGTGAAAATAATTTAATTTCTTCGATTACAGCATCATCTATCATGAATAAAAATAATGTTTCAGACAAATCTTACGTGCTTTAGCCATAGAATCCAAATCTGCAATAAAAAATAGGGATTCCTATTTAGGATTTCCCTCTGCCCCAGTTACATGAAGAAGGGGAGGGGTACTAATTTTGACACTAATGTATTTAGTCCCCGGAAAGATTAAATTTTGATTATGGACATTTTTTAGTAGTGCTTATTTGAAAATTTCAGGTTAAAAAATTCTCTCGGTATAACCCTGTCATTTTTGGTCTAATAATTAAAAAAAAGAGATAAATATTTTAATAATATTACATATTTACACAATAACAGTTTTTATTCAGTGCCTACTTTGATGGATGAGTTCCAATTTTATATATGATAACTTGTTTTTGCAAAAAATTTATGGGAAAAATATGCATAATTATACACGATCCTCGAAAATTCTTAAACGTACTACAAAAATAATCAAATTTATTCAGAAAGTAATGTCATTGAAGGTACAGTCCGTACGATATTTATTGAGATAGAATTTCAAGAAGACCCCAGTGTCACTTCCTTGGAATTAACCGCATTCGACACCCGAGATAGGAAGACATTGTCGGTATAGCGTTCACCGTAGCAGCTTGCAATGCATACTGTGGTGTGCAGTTATGAACACATCTTTCTTCAGTAGTGTATCATCCTGTACATCTAGTTAAATTATGATCTTTACTCTGTATACATATACATTTTAATAAAAAATCCACTTTATATATATTTACCTTATACGGGCTGTTACAAATTCGCTTCTCACTACAGGAATATTGGAAACGGTAAGAGAAACGAAGTAGCTTAAATGGGGGCAAAGTTGCGTAATCAGGGGACCAACATTATGCGTCTAAAAAATCAAGGCTAATATGATTAGTTTTCGAAATATGTATTTGAAAAAAACCGAAATTTTGGAAATCCGTTTTTGTTTCATTTCAGCCTTGTTTGAGGTGATATTGAAAAAAGAAGAACACTTTCTCATGACCACTTTTTGTCCTCTATCGAATGGTATAATCAATTTTTATATATAACGTTTCCTCTCTCCAGGACCATCATCAACTTCATTTTTTTAAATACGACTTCTACTTAGTGCTAACTGAAAGCGCAATGTACTGATAAGTAGTGCGAACTTAGGCATCTTCGTACAATGACATGTTAGCATAAAATCGCCTGCAAGCGCTAGCAAAATTTTGCGATGTTGAACACAGCCAATGTGTATAAAACTTGTAGCTGCTACTACATTTAAAAAAATACTTTAAATATATTTTTAACAAATAAATTTATTTTAGAACAATTATATGTTGTCAAATGATGCAAATGACTTTAATATTCAACAGAAGCTTTTGTTATTAACTCTTCATTTTCCTAAATTAAAAATTATTTGGAGTCCAAGTCCATATGCTTCTGCCCAATTATTTGAAGAGCTCAAGGTAAAAAATTTGTTAAATTTAGGATATAAGTATATGTTACCAATTTCTAGCTTGGTAAAGATGAACCGAATATTGAGTATGCAGCTGCAACTGGAGGGGAACAGGATTTTGATGTTATCGAAAGCAAATTTAATTCAAATATTTATGATTTTGTTCAAAAGCTACCTGGAATAACATCAAAAAACATGAACATGTTTCTGAGGAAATGTGAAAAAATGGATAATGTCATTAAAAAGTCTGAGGTATGTGTAAATTAATATTAAAGAACTTAAAATTGCTGTTTATTTGTGAACTTGTTTGTGAATTTTATAATGACGTTTGTACCTATATTTGTAGGAGGAATTGAAAGAAATACTAGGTAATGCTTCAGACGCCAAAACTTTATATTCCATTTTACATGAAAGCCATAAACCTAACGAGGAAATAGAACCAACTAAACCAAAGGGGAAAACGAAATCCAAATTTAAATATTATAAAAATAAAAAGTAACTAAATTTTAATTAATAAACGTATCATTTAAAACATTTTTGTATCAAATTTATTTGTCCAAGTTTAGCCCAAGAATTGAGTTTGTACCCACCATCTACACAAGAAAAGATACAAATATTTGCATTGTAATAATAATAATAATAATAATAATAATAATAATAATAATAATAATAATAAATTTTATTCTTTAGACAAGAAACTGTATAGAAATCGTCCAGACTTAAAAACTAGGTCACAAAAAATTCCGTCAGTGTATAAAAAGATTTATCTAATAAATATAGTTTTAATTGTCTCTTAAATGAGATCACATTTTTGGCAAGTTTTATTTCATGAGGTATATGATTATATACCTTCAAACCTAAACATATGGGTGAATTATTACAAAATGGTATACGAAAATCTTTATTCTGCCTAGTATTCCTATTATGGACGTTATGATTGGTAGCAAATCGTTGTCTATTAACATATACATAAATACACAATTCTAAAATAAAAACACACACTAAAGTTAAGACACCAAATTGTTTAAAAAAATGTCTGCACGAAATTGTATTCACCAGTCCTAACAAACTTCGCATAATTCTTTTTTGAATAATAAAGACATCCGAGGAAAAAGTGGAATTGCCCCAGAAACACACGCCGTATCTCAACCTGGACTCGACCTGACAATAACAAAAACTCAAAAGCTGCTCAGTGGTGAGAATATATCGGATACTTTTAATTAAGTAATTAATGGAGTTCAACTTATTTACTAACTGACTGCAATGTGTTTTCCAGCTCAAAAATTAATCAAAAACTATTCCCAGGAACTTGACACTTTGATTCTGTGCAACCTTACTAGTTCCGATATTGAGTTCTAAATTGGAGCACTGTTTTTGCCAATTACGAAATCTTAAACAATTTGTTTTTTCAGTGTTTAAGTACTGATTATGAGAGCAACACCAATCATTTAAAATATTCAAACTATTGTTGCATTTACTCTGCAACCGACTATCAGATTTGTCCGATACAAGCAAAGATTGGTCATCCGCATACATTACCAAATGAGTACCCCAATGCAGTGGCCCCAATTCATTCGTGTATATTAAAAACAACCTATCAGAATAATTAAAAACAGGGTGATATAGAATAGAGAAAAATCCAAGAGTTTAGAAAATAAATCAAATTTAAAAAACTGTACAGCTGTCTGTATGAATACCTACCTAAGCTTTTCTGTAATTTAAAGTAGACTTGTTTTTTTGGATTGTTATGCAGTGTCGATATACCTGGTTGCCTTGCACTTCATTATACTTCCTTAAGAGGTCCACTGAAACCAGAGGGTACTTGTAGACGTTTGCCTCGTGACGTTAAATTCAAATAATATAAAATTTTTTAGCAAACGAATTACAGAAACATGTAGATAAAGAGTTTGGGTAGGAGTTCTAATTTCATGGTAATTTTCAGTAAAGATCTGCACCTTCATAAGTTGGGGTACTTTCTCGTAGATGGCGCAGGTATTAGACACAATATGCACTGCCTATACAGGGTGTCCCACCGGGAACTCCTTCGATCGATATCTAGGAAAGTACTGCTCCGAAAAATCTGAAAATTTGGCAACATGGCAATGTCCCTGGGGCGAATACAACTAAAATATCTAGAACTCTTCAGCACTTCCGGTACAACTTTGTTATTTTAAATGGGACACCCTATATATTATTGGATTTTCGAATTCTACGTGAAATTTGAGAGTCAGTTTATTAAATATTCCCTGTACCTAGGAGTTATAGATTTTGAGATATTAATTTTTAAAGAAAAAATTGGACAGACGCAAGGATCCGCGGAGATGCCAGTAACTCTATTCAGGAGCATGATATCAAACGGATTTTTGGTACCTGTGAAGGGCAGAGGTAACGTTAAATTATGGTATACCAACAAATTAAAACATTTAATAATAGGTGTTTCATTTTTTGCTGTTACCTTTTGATAAGTTCAAACAGCTATAACATTGTTAACTTAAATGGACCACCCTGTATTTTTTTACTGTCGTATGCAGGATGAAATTTCCTTTCAAGCCATATAAGCATTGTTAGGTTAGGTTACTATTACCGTTACTATTTTTAAAGATATTTTCAGTTTTCTATTTTTTGGACATTTTTTCTCTTATCAGACCTGTTGTCAAATTGGCCATGACGAGAAACACTCCAAAACAATTAAAATAACTTGACATTTGTCATTGTTAATGTCCGTAATAGTTTTTGCTGAAAATTTTAATAAAAATGCCTGGGGATCGTTTAAATTATACTTAAGAGGATTATTTTAATTTGTTTGTTATTTATGGAAAAAGCAGCAGATTCTCTACATATCCTTGAAATTACTTTGTCACATTTTGTCAAAATAATTGTTATTTTTTTTATCAATACAATAGATTTTGGAATAGTCGTATTTTGCAATTTTTGCATTTCACAAGAAATAAAGTGGTACATACATAGTTGAAGAAATAATAGGCCCATTCAGTAGATTTTTTTTGCATATTTCAAAAGTTTACCCTTTAATTAGTTAGTATGCCAAAAATCAATTTTTTGTTTCAACGAGAAATGTACGAAATAAATTAATGAAAACAGAGCGCGGACAAACGTTGAGCAACCACTGCCTGACGTCATAATACTGGTACGGCAGAGGCAGAGCTCTCCACTCGCGTTCGCGCTCGTTCTCATCCCATTCTGTGTTGATACATACGGTGTGTGGTTCGCTTGGCAGCTTCGTTAATCATTGTTTTTATGTCTAAATGGGTTGAAACCGAGGATTGTACAAATATTGTATAGTTCCAGGCTGCAAAGGTACCTCAGGGATCGACTCTGAATAAAATATTTATTTCATTACCGAAAAATAAAAAGGTTGTGTGATGTTATCCCCGGTTTCCCCAGCCACGGTATGCAACTCAAAACCACCTTCGTTTTTCTTTAGTTGCACGTCTAGGGGGTTGTAAAATATTATTTGAACATTTAGAGCACAGTTTTCAACTTTATGCCGGAAAAAAAATTCTATCCCATCTAAATGTTCGTGTTCACAAAAAATTCGAAATACGTCGCCGAGAGGGACCTATAATCAGGTAAGAACCACTCTCGTTTTTCTTTGGTTGACCGTCTAGGGGGTTGTAAATATTATTATTTAACATTTAGAGCAGAATTTTAAAATTTATGCGGAAAAAAAAATTTCTACTCCATCTAAACGTATCCGTTCACAAAATTTTCGAAATACGTCGGCGGGAGGGACCTATAGGCAACTCAGAACCACCCTCGTTTTTCTTTGGTTGCCTGTCTAGGGGGTTATAAATATTATTATTTAAACATTTAGAGCCAGTTTTCAACTTTATGCCGGAAAAAAAATTCTATCCCATCTAAATGTTCGTGTTCACAAAAAATTCGAAATACGTCGCCGAGAGGGACCTATAAGCAGGTAAGAACCACTCTCGTTTTTCTTTGGTTGACCGTCTAGGGGGTTGTAAATATTATTATTTTAACATTTAGAGCAGAATTTTAAAATTTATGCGGAAAAAAAAATTTCTACTCCATCTAAACGTATCCGTTCACAAAATTTTCGAAATACGTCGGCGGGAGGGACCTATAGGCAACTCAGAACCACCCTCGTTTTTCTTTGGTTGCCTGTCTAGGGGGTTATAAATATTATTATTTAAACATTTAGAGCCGAATTTTCAAATTTATGCCGAAAAATAAAAAATTTCTGCCCCATCTAAACGTTCCCGTCCAGAAAAATTTCGAAATACGTGGCGAGAGGGACCTATAAGCAATTTATTTAAATAATAATATTTTACAACCCCCTAGAAGGGCAACCAAAGAAAAACGAGGGTGGTTCTGAGTTGCTTCAAATACTAGTCAAAGTACTACTGGCACATATATGTCGTCGCATACATCCACAAGTACCGAGTCTAGTACGTTGGGTACATTTGTACAAAATGGAACGCAAAAGAAAATGTAGAAAAGCGAACCATTTACGTTATTGAGAAAAATCCGAAAATGTATTTAGGTATTCCAAGTCATTCTATGTTTATAATAAATATGTTGTGTGAAAAATGCATTTCAACAAGACTCGATGTATATCTCTTATACACTCTCTGTTTATACATTTAAAAATGTAGGTATATAATATAGGTAAAAGTATAGCAAATATCTACACATCTCTCCGACTGCTCGTGACTTGATCACTGAGTGGCCGGTATCGTGACGTCATTACCTGTTCTCCCGCAGTGTTGACCTTTTTAAGGGTCTTACAAATTCAGAATTAAATATATCACTTATTATTAATCCTATTGACCTAATTTTTTTAAGGTATATTTAGGTGGTTAATCCCTGTATATAAACTTAGAAATCATCCCCTAAAAAATGGCATTTTCCTACATTCAAATTACAAAACATTGTATAAATGCAAATGTAATTTGATAACAATTTTATTGTATTGGTTATTGATAATAATAAAGGTTTAGTTTTATCTATAACATTTTTATAAGGTTTTGAGGAATTGAGCAGTGAAATACAAGATAAATTTCATAACTATATGTCAATTTTACTGAAATATTGTTAAGTTGGATCAACATTTCTTTAGGTAGGAAAATGGGGTAGAAGAAAACTATATTTTAATAACATGTTCAATAAATATCTCACAAACATCTGTATATAGACACATTGAACACAATACTGAGAAACCTGATATAAATATGTACATATGAGAGAGGAGAGTTTTGTTTATTGTATGGAATTTAATAAAGTTTCAGTGGCGGCTTGTGTGGGGGGCACCGGAGCGCCGCCCCCATGGAAATTTTCATAGTAAAAAAATGTAATTTAAATTTTGTTTACAATGTCATCTACATCTAGATAATAAATAGATTAACTTATGAAGCACATTAAAAAGGAAATGTTAAATTTGTACGTGCAGTCAATTTAACTCGACTGTAATGTGTTTACAGTGGTGGTCATGGTTACCGTTGCGCAGCAGTGAAAGACGGAGTGGGAGTAGCGCATATTTACTAGCAGTTTGGGTTTGGGCCCTGTTTGGCCCACCAATAATCAAATAATAGCTATTCATCGCTTTTTTCTTTTTAAACGTAATTTGTTTACGTGTGACAAAATTTTGTTACCTAAAAATTGTTTCTTGTATTTTTAAAAAAAATGTAAGTTTAAATTAGATTGGAAAGACAGACTAACAGTATTTGCAATGCTATCTATTGAAAAATCAATGGTGCGAGAACTTTAATGAAAAGGTAATTGAAAATTTTATTTTGAACAAAAGCAGAAGAATTGACTCACTAT